GGAATAGAGGGCAAACAGCAAAACTGTCGTCCTCTTTGAAAGACCTGTTGGGTCTTAGTGCAAAATGTGCGCGTGCGCGGGGTATGTGTGTGGGGGTATGTGTTGCTCTCCCCGATCTCTCCTCCTTCTCTGTAGATCAAGGAGAAGCTGCACAGTGAAGCCGTCACCCTCCTGAAGAGCGGAAGGTTCAAAACAGTCTTTGATAAGGCCTTGGTCTTATGTCAGATGCACAATTTCAAGGATGGTGTCCTCTACCTCTACGAGCAGGGCAAACTGTGAGTGCTGCTCTTGTCCGTAGAGTCCTGTCCCTCTCCCCACCCCCTGCAAGGATTGCTGAGCCATAAACATCCCTGCCTTACGACGGTAATGACCTCTTTCGTATCTCAAGATGGGAACTGTAGATCATTGCTCAGCTGAAAACATCTTATAGTTAGAGCAGGGCAGTTACATAGAGAGTGAATGACAGACCTGTCTTGGCTTCTGTGTGAATGTCTGGGGATTGCATGGCTGGGTGAAAACCTGAGGTCCCTGGGACAGCTCGAAAGGAGAGATTGTTGCAGCTGCTGAGTCTCTTTCTCCCATAGTTTCCAACAGATCATGCACTACCACATGCAGAATGAGCAGTACAAGAAGGTGATTGAGGTGTGCGAGTTGTATGGAGACCAAGAGGCTTGTCTCTGGGAACAGGCTCTCGGCTACTTTGCGCGGAAGGAGGAGGACTGCAAAGAGTATATTGCTGCGGTGCTGAAACACATCGAGAACAAGAATCTTATGCCTCCGCTGCTTGGTAATAATGACATGTGGCACGCCAAAAACAAACCCCAAAACCCAAACTAGTTTATAGCACGCTCTGTAGATTAGAAATTTGAGAGAAGTATCGAAGTTTGAGCCCACCATTTGAAGCAATAACCCCCTCTATAGGGAAAAGCGATGCCAGTCACAGCTCCCTAATTAGGGAAAAAGATCTGCGGTATCAGTCGTAGAGGTGTCTGTACGTGATTTCTGTTCTGTCAGCGTGGGGAGGTGAAGGGCTTGCTGAAACTCCTGCTGTGCCTCAGTGGAGAAGTTGAAATGGAATCCAATCCACTAGATCCTTGCCTGGCCCCTTTTGATCTGAGCTATCCAAACATGCTCCCGGTCATTCCTTTCTGGAAGAGGTCAAACTGAAATGGAGTCTTTAAACGAGCTCTCCGATTCAGCAAGAATGCTGACTGCCTTTGCTTGTAAGCGGCCTTTTACACAAAAGCTGTCTGTCCAGGTAGGATTAAGTGTAGCTGCAGTTTTTTTTACTTGTGTTTAAACTAACATCTTGGTTGCTCTCAGTTGTGCAGACACTGGCTCATAACTCCACAGCCACACTGTCTGTGATTAAGGATTATCTTGTCAACAAGCTGCAGAAGCAGAGCCGCCAGATAGAGCAGGATGAGCAGAGAATTGAAAAATACCGAGAAGAAACTACAAGGATCCGCCAGGAGATCGAAGAGCTAAAAGCAAGGTGCGGGACTGTGTGCTGCTTGTCTTATAGAGGATAGAACTGTTGTTTTCTGTCATTGAGGAAAAATATACTTTGTCTCTCTTGCCCTTCCGCCTCCTCTCGCTCTCCCAGTCCCAAGATCTTTCAGAAGACCAAGTGTAGCATTTGCACCAGTGCCCTGGAGCTGCCTTCCGTCCACTTCCTGTGCGGTCATTCCTTCCACCAGCACTGCTTTGAAAGCTACTCTGAGAGCGATTCAGAATGTCCTACTTGCATGCCAGAAAATCGCAAAGTGATGGACATGATCCGAGCCCAGGAGCAGAAGAGAGATCTGCATGACCAGTTTCAGCACCAGGTAGGGTAACATTGCCTGTCTTACCAAGTTTAAATAAATAGGGTTTAGATTCATTTACAGATCCCCCGAGGCTGGTAGAGAAGGGTAAGGCTGAAAGTGTTTTGTAAACAAGGTTATGTTGACTGCAAATAATGAGGCGTTAGGCCCTAGGGTGGCTGCGTTATGTGTAGGGCGTAAAGAGTCCTTGATGCTCTCCAAAGATGAAAGAGAAACGATGCTGAAATGGGTTGAGACAGCTGTACAGTTGTACAGAACAAATCAAGGAGAAAGGGGGGGGGGGGGGGGGGGGGGGGGGGGGGGGGGGAAGTTGTACGAATTGGAATGCGGATAGGACGGTGCAGTTGAGGTACACCGAAAGCGTTGCATCTACATTGTGTTTCCGAGGGATGGAGTGGTGAAGTTGAGGATGGGGTATTAGCTAGAACGTGTTAATGCACGTGGAAACGACAGTAGCTGAGGCAGTCACTTCCGTGTTTAACTGTTTGTTACCTTTTTGGTGCATGGCTCCAATGTAGGACTGAAACAAGAGGTGGAACGGCCAGTGGCAAAAAACCCTAGCAGAGGAGGCCGCTGATGCGGCACTTGCATTGAACTAGCAGAATAGCCAAGGAGTGACTTGGGCCACTGGGTCTCTATCTAATAAAGAGGCTGTAAGCGCAGGGGGTGAAAGGGGGCTGGAGGCTTTTGCTGATGCCGCTGCTTTGTGTCCGGCAGCTCAAGTGTTCCAACGATGGCTTCTCCGTTGTAGCCGACTACTTTGGTCGAGGCGTCTTCAATAAGCTCACCCTCATCACGGACTTGCCCTCGGGAAAGGCGGCTACGACTATTGAGGCTGGCCTGCAGCGGGAGCTGCTCGTCCACACCAAGCGCAGTACCTGACTCCGTGCCGTGTCCCTGCCCGCCCTCTCGGGTTGTACGGGGTTTCCCCCCCCGTGTCCTCGGGCAACCTGGACGCGGGCTTCACCCTGATCTGTCCCTCAGCCCCCCAATAAACCGGACTAGCTGAGCGGTGCGCTGGGTGTGCGGGCCCGCCCCGGGCGCCGGGTCTGAGTGGC